ATGCATGCCACAAAGCAAGAGATATCCCATTCGAATTAGCCCTACTTTGAAATTTTGTAATCCAATGAAGCGGGTCAACCATCACCATCCGGTGTATAAATAATGTAATGTGTCTTTTTGCTAAGAAAAAACAAAAATATCAATTGATTATTTTTATTTGATTTTGTAATTCTTTAATAGGAATCGGTAGATGTTTTTCTTTTAACAAAAAATAAGAAGGTATAATCTATACATGGATTAATATATGAAGCATACCCATAAAAAATACTCAAATAATTGTTGGTCACAAAAGGAAACGAGCAACGGATCGTCGCGGTTGGCTGACAATTTGAATTGGAAATTGCGCGTGTGTGCCAGGTGTGTGTAATACACTAATTATAAAATAAAATGCGCTTAATTTTACTTTTAAAATGTGGGTTAAATCCATGGATATACAGTTCCCTAGCTGTGTAATTAAAATAAAATTAAGCAAAGAAAATTTATAAGAGTGCTTTGGTTCCTTGAAATGTAAAAGATATGTAATTGTTTAAAATGTAAACCGGATGTGATGGATTGTATTGAAATGAAACTAAATAGTAGGATGTAAATTAACCATGCTTAGAAAAAATAAAGACCAAAGCTTAAAAATTAAACTAATTGACTAGTTAGAGAATTCGATTTGTTTAATTAAATTCGTCGAAGAATTTGGCTGGACCTTCTGCATTATTTGTTACTCTCCTTTTATAAGTTTCACGAGCAATTACCAAAAATTTCCGTTACATCAAAATCACCCTCAACAAACTTAAATGGAATTGATAAATTTGTCTTATAGAAGTTTATTCGGACCAAAAATAATTGAAACAAAGGAAGAACTTTGATTTTTTTTTTTTTTTTTTTTTTTCTTAAGAAGTTTATCGGACCAAAAATAATTGAAACAAAGAGACTGATTTTTTTTTTTTTTTTTTTTTTTAAGACCAATAATGGGACAACAGCAAGCAACTAAATCAGAAATAAAACCACTAATACATTTCTTAAGTAAAAAATAAGACCTTATAATAAATTAACAAATTTTTTTTTTTTTTTTTTTTTTTTTAAGACCAAAGTAATGGACAACAGCAAGCAACTAAATCAGAAATAAACCACTAATACATTTCTTAATAAAAAAAAGACCTTATAAAATACAAATTTTTGCACCGCCACTTAACACGCATGAGAAAATAAGTTGGGTAATACCCTTTTAAAAGCTAAAGAGAGAACTAAATTCAACAACCCCAATAGTCACAGAAGGTGGAAGTAATGATGACTGCCCTAACAAAAAGAGAGATTAATGAATTAATTAAAGTAATAAGGTAGGCAAAAGGTGAAGATAATTACTTTCACTAGGCAATTAGGCATCTAATCTCTCAACACAAAAAGCATTCAAAAGTAACTTTTTGATGAGAGATTTTAGGGATTATAAGGATTGTTTAGGAATTATTATCATATAATTGTGTTATGATTGGTGTTTTTTATTATTTATTTTATTATGGGTAAATCTTTATGCACTAATTAATAAAATATTGTGGATTAAACCTACAGATTGTGGCTTATTTAACAATGCAGGCTGGGCATGTGGGAAGAACTTTCGTATTCATATTCGTCTCCATTAAACACACTTATAGGGAGGGGCGAAGAGCCTTACTGTGACTAATCTCCGAGTCGTATCATATGATCCCTGGTAATAGAATTTCAATACCAGTGGTTTATACAAAAACAAAAACATTATGCATTGAAGTAATTCTCTTTTGTATTTGATAACAATTTTTAACATGAAAATTAACAGCAATTTTAGGTAATTCTTTTTTGTATTTATTTCGGTTCATTGAATTCCTAATAAATTAAAAAAAGAAAAAAGAAAACAAGTCGTGACTTTTTATCCAAAAAGTCACTTTACTATTAAATGCCAAATATAAATTGTATAGAGTCTGTTCAATAAAATTATTTATTTTATTAATTATTAATTGTCCTAGTAGCTGTCATTTCTTAAACTAGTGTTTCATCGATCGTTAAAGGAAGTAGCAACCAAACTCTAAACACTCTTATAAATGTTATGTCGTCAAACACAGTAAATAATAAAAATAATATTTTGGATCTGATCGGCAAGTTAGTTGTTTTGGTAACTGTCAATTCTTTTAATAGAATTTAGTTGTTAGTATTCTGGTAGTTTTTCATAAAACACTAAAAACTAAACGTTACATAAATTAACTTTTTATAAAATATTACTTTAACCTCTAAAAACTAATTAAAAAAATAACCGCTCCCTCAATAATTGTTACCTTTATCATAAATTCTAATATGCTATATCTATTAGAAATCTCTTTTGCTAGTTAACAAAAGGCAAGGGTAGAATTACTTAGAGTAAGTGGGGACAATGCCTTTTGACAACACCAAATGAGAAAATCTTATTTGGAAGGCAACAAGATTATGAATTTGCCTCCAACAAGACGCAAATGTTGAACTTTTAGTGCATACTTTCTTTCTTCCAAGAATGAACCTTGTCATTTCTTAATGATTGGAATGTCTGAATTGATTGTTTAACAACTTATATATATGCTTCTTTGGAGGAAGCTTCATGATCATAAAATAATTATTACTATCATCATTTTCTTTGGTTTCTATTATTACAACACTTTTAGCTACAAAACCCAAATTATACAAGCCTCACAATATATGTGAGGCTCAATACTTCCAATATAAAATTGAAGTCTTCAAAATAAATGTCATAACATATTATTGCGTGTGCTCTAAGGAAAGAGTTTAAGTGGTTAGTTTCAAATATTATTGCTTGTGAATTCATTTGCAATTAAACACTCAATTTGTTTATGGAAATGCAAACAAAATATTAACAATATATATCTTTAATTCCATAAAATTAATTTTACTTTACATTTTAAATTGAATTTTTGTTTCTTGTTAATAACTAAATGGAAAAGTTACTAGAAATCAAGAAAATTATAAGTATCCAATTTTTAAAATTTATGGAAATAATAAATTAAAAAGAAATGGAAGTCATAACAAAAAATATTAATATTATTCAAAAAGAGCATAAAGAATCGGAATACTTTATTTTAGTCGGGATAAGCGTAAAAGTTTTTAATCTTTTCAATAAATACGCTCCTCAAAATTGAATTTATTTTCTCATTATTATATGAAAGTTAAGGTCACTTACCACCTCAATCAATATATTCTTAATTGAAGTTAGACTAAAATGGTAATGGTCAGATCCTATCAAGTGATTCTTGAATTTTATCTAGGCATTGTATATGGATAAAGTTCACTTATGAGGAGGTATCTGCTTCGATGCCTAACAATATCTCAAAGAAACTGCCTTTTGCCTTTTGGATAGAGATAATCATAATACAAACCAAACAAAAAAAATAAATAAATTATGTAAATTTGAATTTATTTAAAATATATATCTTAATTACTAATTTTACACATTAACAGTACACTAAAAAAATAAATTACATACTAACGATCGTTGAGATAAGTGACTCGGTGTTGTTTTCTTAAAATAAGGTCGAGAGTTTGATACTCATGGATGAAGCAAATAATCGCTTTAGTGGATCGATCCAATATAAAAAAGATTTAATTCTAGCCAAATGGGCTCGAATAGGAGAAATCTATATTCAAATCAAAGTTATTTCTTCATAAATAATAATGGTAAATTATTTAAATTTCTTCTGTCTCCCTAGAATATGTTCTTTATATTTTGTGTAGGATTAGGAGGGATACATAATCCTTAAAATAATGGCAAGCATATTACCCAGCCAATTGGGAAATGCAATTGCCAATGCCATAAGATAGTGTCAGCTTTCAGAAATTCCAATCCAACATTGTCATTCCCACTTTCTTAAGAAAAACCACCACACAAGGATTGCATCCAGAATTTAAGCATCTCTTCTTATATCCTCAGTCCTCACAAAAAGTATTTCATAAACAAGAACAATATATATATATATATTGAAAGACAGAACAAGAGTTTATATAAAGGAAAACAAAAAATGAAAATTATAATTTAAATATAATGAAATATATATATATATAGGGAAACAACAGGCAAAATAAAGATATTTTAAAGCAAAAAAATAATTTACGAGAGTGAATTACTTCTATTTGCTCTATGAATTAAATCAATAAAATTAGATATTTTCTAAAACTTGTTTCTACTTCATCTTTTTGTTTTTTAGTAATATCATCAGAAATATTCTGTTTCAGTAAAAATTTTTATTGCCATTGATTCGATTCATGGTTGATTCGGTACAGGACAGGTCAATCCCCGATGGAGTATAGGCTCGCCGACAATCTTATAAAGTTATTTTCTGAAAAAAAAAAAAGACAACAGGAAAAATATTATGACAATTTTTTTTCAAAAGGCGATAAATTATTAACTTGGTATATAATCTGTCCATATGTAAAGTATAACTAAGTATTTTATATCATTTTCAAGAAAAGCAAGAAGATGAGTAGAATTGATAGACGGGAGATGAATTTGTCAATCATCAAGTGGAATTGCGTTCTTGATAAATTTACGTAAAGAATAAATTTTATTTTGACTAAATTATTAGAATATCAAAATTTTAAAGTGAACCGATTTGATTTATAAAAAATTATTGGACTAAAATTACTAAATATTCATTTTAAATAAGACTTAAAATATGTTATTTTTGAGAAGAAAATGATTAATTACAAGCATTACCCTCTGGATATTTGATCCATATTTATTTTTTATAAAGTAGACAGGAATTTCATTTAAGAATCTTTTAGTGGTAGCTAAAAAAATGATAATAAAATAGATAATGAATGAATAAATAAATAAATAAAATGCAGAGAAATGCACAGTTTAAACACTGGCTTTAATTTTTCTATTTCCTTGAGAAATTAACTGTACAAAATCTCAAAGGAAATTCACTAAAAGTGGAAAATGAAATTAAAACCAGAAAATAGCGGTTTTAATTTTTAATTTTTTTAATTTTTAATTTTCAAATTTTCTCAACTTCAGGGACTGAATTCTGATTTTGAAGAACAGTAGACAAAGACTCTTGACGACGAAACCTCAAATGCTTGGCAATAAACTCATCTACTGCTCGCTGAAACTCCTCGTCACTCAATTCATTTTCTAGAGTCAAACCTTCGCCGGCGTCGGTAGTTGAAGACTTTACCGCATTAATGTACTTCTCCGTCTCCGATCGCTGTAGTTTATTCATACTGTCCTTTTCCGATAACTTTCTGTCTAGCTTTTCCGATTTTGACCTCCGATAAACTCTCGGAGTATCGGAATCTGATTCTAAATCTGAACCGGAAAATGACGACAAATGGAATTCGACAGTATCATTATCTCCTTCTCCGGTTTGAGAGAAAGCATTAACTTCAGATATGATAACCTCTTTGTCTTGGAACTCTATCTGTTCAGTTGCGTGAAATGGAAGATAAGGAGAAGGAGATGGATTCTCTGACAATGGCTCAGAACAGCGATTTTCGTTCTTTTTAAGCAATTCCTCGTAAAGCTCAGTTTCAGCATTATCTGCAGCAGGATTCTCGCCGGAGAATCTGCGAGATTTGAAGATGAGAGCAGCGATGATGGAGTTACAGAGCATGAAAACAAAAATTGGACTGGCAATTACTCCAGCTATTTTCCGGAAAAACTCACCGGATATTTTAAAGGCAAACGGAAGGCGATTGGAAAGCCAAGAAACAAACACCAAAGCAAGGCAGAACTCAAGTAAACGAAAAAGCTTAGTTAAGCATCGAAGGTGATTATACCATAACATAGCGCCTGCTTTCTCTGCTTTGACGTTGTCGAAATTGAAGAAATCCATCAGAAAACAGAGAGCAGAACGAAGATTTAACGTAGAGAGTAGCAAGAACAATTAGTTCAACCTGAGAGAGAACTGAACCCTCTCTGCAGACAAATCTTTGCCTTTTATAGACTCCTTGAAAACATAGATCATCAGCCTTTAGAGATTACTTTAATCAAATCGAGTTTGTCTTTTATTAATCCAAAGCCTTTAATTAAGATACTATGTCTTGTCTGTCGTACAGCACAGAAGAGAGAAGGAAATAATTATATTTTCTTTCTTTAGTCCCTACATAAATTTTATGGCCAAATAGATACTCCTAAAATTGCAAAAGATTAAAATTTAATTTGGATTCAAGTCTTTTAATTTATAATTAAATTTAGAATTTTCATCGATTTAATTGAATTATAAAAGAAAAAATTACTCTCATTATGCAATTTAAAATATTAAAAAGTTCTTCCTATTCATTGTAAAAATTATTTATTTAAATTATACTATTAATTTTTTTCCGAGTCAAAGTATGAATTTATTAATTAGAATAAATAGAAAATATTTGAAATAAGTAAAGGAGGGACAGAAACGCATTCTAATTTTAGGTCAAACAAAGAACGAGCATGAGTTTCTAGTAAATGAACATAATAGCACCTTTTAACACCTAATCCAGAATAATTGAAGTGTTTAAGAATTAAGACTAGTAATAATCAGGCGGGACCATTGTTCAGACAGGCGTGGATTATTGCCGATTTAGTGGGTCCAATAATTTGACCTGCCACGTGGATTATTCCATATTTTATTTATTATATTATATTTTTTTATTTGGCTTTTATGTAATGTTTGCTTGGACAGGCCAGTAAATAATAAGTAGCGTGTGCGTGATTCGCTGAGATGCGTTTGAGAGTTTTTCACGTGAGCTGTGTGCCGTCCGTGTATTCTCTGCTGCTGCTTAGCGCATTCTCGTCCGTCCCTTTTATTAGTTCCAAATTATTTTCTCACACACTTTGTGTGTTTTGTGCCAATTCAAATTTAAAGAAAAATTTAAAAAATAAAAAATTTTTAATTTGAACTGTTCTTCCTGAGAAATAAAATAATAGAAGATTTAGATAAAAAAAGGATTAAATTACAATTTAGTTCATCTTACGATTTTTATTTTTGAAATTTAATAATATAGATTTATCTCCATTACACTATTTAATCATTATATTATTCTGTTAAAAATTTGCCGTTAGTCCAAAGGATTAAGTGTCATCTAGTCCATTTATTCATATCAGCTGATAATTGGTATCAGTAGCTGATGACTGATGACTGATAGCCGTTAGCTAATAAATACTAATGTTCGATAAAACTTTGACAGCAATTGCTATTAAAATGACCATTAAGAATATAATTGTTTTTATCTATTATGGTGCATAATATATATTATTAAGCTATTGATTATAATCCTTACTAAAAACGTACAACTCAGATGTTTGTTACGAATCATCTGTTAGCTGCAGAAATCAATTGAACTAAATGTCCTTTAAATAGTATAATAGAAACAAAATCAAAAGACAATATAATTAAATCTAAAAGTAAAATTCTAATTGGTATATTTGAATAATATCAAGGCAATATAGTTAATAATTCACTCTATGTTGTTATATATATTGAATGGAATGCTATTCTTCATTCCATTTTTCTTTACAACAAGTGAATTGGGAATAACAATATAAAGAGAATAGAGTAGTAACAGGAATAGGAATTTTTCGGTGGGGGTTGGAATAGATGAATAGTTCTATTTTTTTTTTTAAAAAAAAAAATCAAAATGGTGGATTTTTTTAGCCATTCCTTATTCCATTTCTCTTTAAATTCCTATAACCAAACAAAAGAATAAAACTAAAATTCCTATTCTATGACAATACGAAACATTAGTAATAGAGATTTAAATTCCCATTCCTCCATATTTTCTATTTTAATCCTTATTCCTTATTTCTTTCCGTTTATAAATACGTAGCCATAGAGAAATAATGATATATTATTAGCAATTAACGAAAAAATAAAGAACTAAGTAATATAACAATTTTTTTTTTTTTTGAATATTAGAAAAGAAGGTTCGAATCTGGATCTACTGTCAAATCGTATGTGCACTTACTATTAGATTATATCTCAATGTGCAATATAACAGAATTTTAAAACCAATGGAATATGTAATTAAATTCTGAAAATAAAAGCTTTGACTAGTCATTAGTATATTTGAGAATAATGAAGAGATTACATAATAATTCATTTTTTCAAAAAAAAAAAAAAAAGGGTAGAAGAGGCAATACATATATTTTAATTGAATTTACTATATAATTAAATTGCTAAATCCTTTTCCAACAAACAAAATAAATTACTAAATCAATACATCAGTGAACACTTTTGTTAATGACCCATTAAAATGATAAAGAGTAATTGTCACGACCCGATTCCATGGGCCGGACCGGCACTAGGGCCCAGGTAAGCTTAAGGCCCCCGAGGCCCGTAGTCAGCCTGAAACACTAGAATCCAATATACTAAACACTAGAATCACAAATATTCCGCGTATAAGTAATTTCAACACGTAGTAAGCCTGAAACACTAGAATCTATTATCTCGGTATAAATTTCAACATTCAGCCCATATGATTATGAAAAATAAACCTCAACATTTTATTAGTTTTCAGCCCAAGTTTATCTTCTACAGCATTCTATAGTTCGGGCCCAGTTTACAAATACATCACATTCTAATATGGCTTACAGAATTATTTTGTCTATGTTAATTCACGACTAAATATATGTAAATCCTACAACTGCGGAGTCACTAACCCTTTGGTATACATAGCTTTTTATACAAATAATTACATAGTGAAATAATTATGGAACTAGGAAAATTTCTCTATTGCCCTGCGCCGAAGACACATAGCCTAAATCGGATTAAAGAAAAACTTACTAAAACTACTTTCCTGATATTACCAAATAAAAGACATGTGAGTTTTTTCTAAATGGGAGTAATAATTTATATGCAAAAACACACGCAGTCACACAAATATATGTTAATTATTGCACAACACACGCAGTCACACAAATATGTAAACATTTCAATCTAGTCATCCGACTAGTTATATGCTCACGCAGCCAGTCACACAAATTACACATACCAGCACTCACACGTAATGTCACTTTCAAGTAATCAAGCAAGTGGTAATTAGTCAGTGGCACCACTTGAAACCCAAACGAGCCGTCCTCACACATGGCTCGCCCTCTCGTACATGTGCACTAGGGAGCCGATCCCCCATACGGCCAACTGGTCTAATGCTCACTGACCAGTCCTCTCATTGTTTTTCCAGTCTCTCGTTTCTTTTCCATATCAACAGGAATATATATATATACCAACAGGAGGCAACTCGGTGGTCTCCATCTAATCTAGATCATCAAGCGCACACAACAGGAGGCCACCCTGCGGGCTCCAATCAAATCTAGATTATCAGGTGCGCAACAACAAGTAGCCATCCTGTGGTTAATGATAACGGTAACGGTAATGGTAACGGTAGGTACACACGGGGGCGCCGATCTCCCATTTACTTGGCCGACGGTCCAACCATCCTCACAAACCCATGGTGACCTACTTCATCCCAACTCCACACAAACAAAGCATAGCATTATCACAACGCAATTAATCAAACATTGCAAGTAGATGCAAACATATTGATCAGTTGAACATCAAACATTGCACAAATGCAGACATATTGATCATTGGACCATCATTTTTCTCAAATGCAATTAGAATATGCTTTTCACAATTAATTACCATTTATAAACAACAACACCAACAACAATATAAAATCAATGATAAGAATAAACAGTAACATGAATAAATACATTATTAAATAGCTATAAATTGATAAAATAAATAATAATAATAATAAACAATGATAATGATATGGTAGTTAAAGCACTTTATTTATTATGTATCGAATTGTAAAAATTATCTAAAAAAGCTTATTTGTTATGTTATCAATTAAAATTAGTCTAAGTTCTACTGAAATTTCGGCAGCACCTCTCCTAAACATGGGACTATCAATCTGTTTAGATAACATAGTATTATTATATGTTTATCAATCAATACACACAGTCCATCTATCGGGCAATCAATCAATTTAAAACCCCATCCTCCTTCCAAAACCACAATATCAACACTCAACCATTAATTCATAACAATTATGTTCCAATGATAATGACAATCATTATTTACTTCATATAATTATAACTAGCTACTATAGCTAATTACCAAACAAATGAAGGCTTTAACAAATGAAAGCTTTAATACATATATAATCGAATAAAACTTATATCAGTAAGTTAATTTCAATTACTTTCATTTCTTCATTCTTGCTTAAAGCTAATACGTCACATTTTTTATACCTTTGTTAAATTTTATACTAGCCAATAAGAACAAATGCTTCAATTAATTATAATTTAATGAATACATCTACTAAGTAACTCGACTCGCCCTTATGTATATAGATATAAATATATATCAATTCTTATAACTAGTTTATCTAAATGTTCGCAATTATTCAAAATAGTTGTTGTTCAGCAAAATAGGTCATTCTCACCCTAGCTCATATATGATGTATGAATCAATTCATTCAAATTTTCAATTTAATTAGTTTAGAATTTATACCAAAAATAGGAAATTGGTCTTAGAATGTACCAATTGAAATTTGAGCGACGATTCCACGATCCTCGCGAAGAGAGGAACATTCTGTCCCTGGCACCTTGCCGGAGACTCGCCGGATCGTCGCCGTCTACGGTGGCCGGAAAAGTTGGGGCCACCCAGAATTGACCCTTCTTCACGTCACCCCACTCAAATTTCATCGAGGAGTCCGTTTTTGATGTCGGTTGTGCGCCGCCGTCCACGTGGCCGAAAAGTTGGGGCCATCCCAGAATTGACCCTATTACGCACCATCCACTCAAAATTTCATCGAGGGAGTCCGTTTTTTGATGTCGGTTGTGCGAGGTTGT